TAGGATGCCTGGTGGTTCTATGTTACTCCAGTTTGTGTAGTAAATTTCATAATGCCATGGGAGGTAAATGTAACGGCCCAGAGAGAGTTGAGAGAGCTGGTGTATCAGAACATTCCAGAATTATGGTGTAATGTAATGGTGCTTGGACGATGAAAAACTTGGTGCTAACGATTTTGGTCTTTTTTCTTGATTGACCTTCTAGTGTTATGGGTAATAGGATGTCTGCTCAACATTTTTTTCGCATGGTTGAGGGTTAGCCCTTAGGCATTATTTTATTTGTTAGAAGTAGTGGCTGAAAATTGTGTTTACCGAGCTACCCAATAATTCCTTTGGGTATATTCACTGCATACGAAATACTATGTGATTTTTCTTGATCATTTTTACCATATCATTTGGTATATCCATTGTGTATGAAATTAAACGACTTTTCTAAATTTCTCCACTTTAAAGGATATGTCAAAAATTAATTTTTTTATTATATATAGAAATAAATTAATTATCATCATACAATGAGTGAAAAACAAATGCACCAGCCGGGAACGGTAGGGAATTCAACAATGCCCAATTCCATCAACTTTGTGTATCTAATGACATTTACATCTGATTCTCATGTCCTCGGGCCTCCTAACAAAATGGGAAATTCGATACTATCAATAATACAGTTTGACCTCTTCTTTTTCAGGCTCATTTACCCCTCCCCCCCCCCCCCCCCCCCCCCCCCCCTCATCACACACACATTTGGTCGAAGCACTACATATGTTAGGCCATCTTCTCATATACTACCCTTTTCCGCTCTTCAAAACGACACTCCTTACCATAAAATCTTTCAAAAACAACTCACTTAGGTGTGTTTGGATGTCTATGTTACCCACACACTATCACTTCTCATAAACTTACTCCAAGAACTACACCATGTAACTTTCTTAGATATCCCTCCAACCATCGAGGATATAAATGACTCGACCTAGCCACCAACAAAATAATCATCTCATAACATATCATATTTGATGAAACAACTTTCACATTTGGTTCCATCACACCAAACAATCCACCCTCCTACAATTTTCTTGAAACAATCGATGACTCAAACTCATTTGCAAACTGTTTTCTTCATCGTCCTCCATAAAATTCACTCGTATCTGCTTCCATAAAACCATATCAACATCTAATGTCTCATCAATAGAGGTTTCTCTAAATGCCATGTCCTTTGTTACGTCACCCATCTCGGCTAGCACCACTTCGGCACCCAGTCCGCCCTGCTTTCTTGTCATATCAGAAATTCCTTCAGCTACTACCTCACTCCTCAATTGTCACTCCCTCAACTTCTGATGTCAGGTCGATAATGCTTGCTACTGTGTCAACAACGACACCATTAAATCACTCGGCTGTCCAAATCCCTTCGCTAGCGTCTCAAAATCCTCACATCTCTTCTTCTATTCCATGACCACTAGATCTCATGGTGGAATTTTAAAACGGATATACAAAAACTAAATCTCCTCTCGTTGATTCTAAGTATATGACACATTGTAACTACTTACAGGCATTCCACGATCCTAACTAGTTAAATGTCATGAAAAAGGAATATAAAGTTCTTATGGCCAATCAAAAATGGATTCTTATGACTAGGCACACATATGCAAATGTGATAAATTGCACGTGGTTATTTAAAAACAAAATATAATGTGGTGGTTCTTTAGCTCAATATAAAGCATGACTCATGGAAAATGGTCGCAGTCAAAGATCTGGAATTGATTGTTAGGGATGAGCAAAAACTGAATAGAAAACCAAAAAATCGAAAAAAAAAACCGAAATAACCGAAACCAAAGAAATAACCGACGGTTTAGGTTTGAATTTTACAAAAACCGAAAAATAACGTTTGGTTCGGTTTTGACGTATAAAACCGCCCATAAAAACCGAACCGACCCATATATATATATATATATATATATATATATATATATATATATATATATATATATATATATATATATATATTATTGATTATATTTTAAACTTTTAGTTTTAGACTTTAGACTTTATCCCTTTAGTACTTTATGGTTATTTTTCAACAAACTCTTAATGGTGTTAAACTTTGATCTTTTGAACACTTTTATGTTTTTAGAATACTAGAATCCGTATTCTTTATTTTAGTATATTTAAAGTAGATACAATACTATTTTCATTGGGTTTGAACCCAAAAACTAGAAAAAAAAAACAGGAGTTCATAAACCCACAGTTTAAAACCGAAAACCCATAAACCCAACCCGGAAAACCAAAAAACTGAACCATGCGAAAACCGAACCTATATGGGTTTAAAAATCGAAAAATCGACTTTCTACGGTTTGGTTTGTTTTAGCCAAAAACCGACCCAAACCGACTCATGCTCATCCCTATTGATTGTGATGAGACATTTAGCCTGGTGGTAAAACATGTTGCTATGCAGATTATTCTTCGTCTTGTTATCTCAACAATTGGTCAATTCATCTGCAGAATGTGAATTATGCATTTCTTCACAGTCGTCTTTAAGAGACCGTCTATATATGGCAACCTCTCGGGTTTTAAGATCCCTTTGTGCATTATCATATTAGTCTTCTACATCGATCTTTATACGGCCTCAAATGGCCTTCGAGCATGGTTTCATTGTTTTGCTCATTTATCTTTGTTGGTAAATGAATTGCTTGGATTCTCTGAAAGTCGTGAAACACTTTCAAATTGAAGTATTTCGATGGTACAGATCGAATACTCATATGGATAAAATTCAAAGATTTTTGAATTAAGAGAATGTGGGTGAAAATGTTCTTGAAGATGTACTAGAAATGACCAAAAAACAGGTATAAGATCATTGTCTGAAAACTGTCAGAAGACTGTTTCAACTGTCACCAAACTGTCATAAAAATGAGTTTTTGGATAAGGGTCAAAATGAGTCATCTTTTCTAAAAATAGGATTGCTGATGCTCGACCCGAGCCAGAGGCTCTGCCCCCTTGGACCCCGCGAGGGGCTGCCGCCCCTTGGACCCCGCTTCAAGGGGCGCTGTCCCCGGACCCCCATTCATTCAGGGGCTTCGCCCCTAAATAACAATGTACTTTGAATCTTGAAAACTTAAACAAGTGTGCACTCAGCACTATCCTAACTTGTTCAATATTTGTCAAGATCACTTTTGGTCAACAAATTTAATCCTATTACACTTAAATAATATTGATGATATCAAATCACCAATAATCTTGTCTTGATTTTTCTAACAACAGATGTGATTCTTCACTTTTCATATACAGATAGGGTGCTCATATTGCATATCTTATCTTGTATATTGACAACATTGTTCTGAAGGCTTCATTAGATAGTCCTATAAGACCGGTTATTAGATCGGTTATTGGTATTTTCGCCACCAATTTTCCCCGATGTAGGCGATGTAGGCGATCAGAACTACTTTCTTGACATTATCGTCATAAAATATCAAATATGCATGTTTATCTCCTAACAAAAGTATGCTATATATATTTAGATCGAACAACAATGTTGAAGTACAAGCCTGCTTGGACCGCTGCAAACATGTTAGCCAAACTTAATGGCTAAGCCCCCGAGTTGTTGATTCAATTCTTTACTATTGATTCAATTCTTTACTGAAGCCTTAATGGCGCATTACAATACCTATCTTAATGGCAGATTACAATACCTATCTTTTACTTGACCAAATCTCACATATGAAGTTCAACAAATATGTATGTTTATGCACTATCCTCGAGAACCTCATCCGATGGCTCTCAAGTGAATGTTCAGTTATATACATGGATATTGATAACGTCTTCGGTTGTTTGAGCAGCTAGCCACATGTCTTACCGCATATTCAGATATTGATGAGTTAGTTGCCCCACCATAAAATGCTCTACCTCCAAAAATTGTGTCTTTCTCGAACATAACCTCTTAAAAGATAAGGAACCATTTCCTGATCGAGTGTTGAAGTCAAATACACAAAGTTGCAAATGCAATCGCAGAAACATCTTGGATTCAAAATGTGCTTTGTGAAACTTCAATAACCTACATGTCATGCCACCATTATTTATTGTTATAATGTCAGTGTTGTGTACTTTCTTCCAATTCAGGTCAACACCACCAAACCAAGCATATCGAGATCAATATAGATTTGGTTCAGGACAAGGTAAAAATGGGTTAGATACGACTTTTCCATGTCTCATTTTCTCATCGGTTTGTAGACATCTTCACCAAATGGTTTCTCTCTCCTTTATTTATTGGTTTCCTTTCCAATTTGAACGTCCTAAGTACAACCCGATGTTCAAAATGCGAAAGGAATGTTAATTTAAATGTGTATTTGTTATTTATAGACCAACGTATTAATTTTATGTTATTATGTATACGGCCCATGTAATTCTCGGTCTCCTAGTTTTGTATTTGTAGATATAATGGTTTAATGAGATGGTTCTATTTAGAGATGAGCAAAGGAACCGACCCGGCTAGAACCGGCCCGGGAACCGAACTTGGTGGAAAATTAGAACCACACCGGACCGCCGATTCTACCGGTTCTTGTCGTGTCTTCAATGTAGGAACCGGTCCTCGAGAAATAGCAAAATACAGTTCCGGTTTTTGCCGGTTCTACCGGTTCAGGGTTCCAAAAATCCACAAGAATATCGTCCCGGTCCTGGCACGACCGGTTCCGGTACCGGTTCCGGCCGGTCCCCCGGTCCATATGCTCATCCCTAGTTCTATTCATGGGAAAATCTCTTGTAACACTGGAAGGGTGCCTTTCCTTATGGTTGTGATAGGTTGTACAAGAAAAATGTATGCCTAATGTGAAGTTTGTTCTTTTGAAGTGCATCACAAAATCTATCCATGGGATTTCCCAGACATAAATAACAACAAACCATGCTTCCAAAGGATTGACCAGCTTTATTTGGTAGATACTCCTCACTTATTTTGACCTAAGGTATTTAGCCAAGTATCTCAGTATTGCCAAGAGCAAAATATGTTCTAAGTCGGGACTGCATCATATCTTTACTTTTCAAATTAACAACATACAATAAAAAAAAAACATAAACACTTAAAGTTAGAAAAAAGAAACCTATTTATTTAATAAAAGAGGATTACAATCTTGAAGACATTCCTCCTGCAACCACAATCGTCTCACCAGTAATATACAAAGCATCATCAGATGCCAAGAAAGCGGTGGCTGCCGCCATGTCTTCCACCGTCCCTAGCCTCTTGAGTGGTGTCTTCTCCATAATGGTGTCTCTCTAACAACACAAACAAATTTAAATCAGTTTCATCAAAACACATGAATTAAGCTTCAAAATGCATGCATCTTTTTTAATCTTTATATGTCAGATATAATTATATTTGAAGAAAAAGAAGAAGAAGAGGATTACAATGGTATCATTATCGGTGATGAAACTAGCAAAGTGTGTAGGCACAGTCCCCGGTGCAACACAGTTCACACGAGTATGTGGGGCCATCTCACTTGCAAGCGCCTACACAACAATAACAATTAATAAAAAAATTAAATATTTTTAAAGAAAATACGAATACTGAAATATGTATATGTAGTTTAATAATACCTTGGTAAGACCAAGAAGCGCAGTCTTTGTGACACCATACATAGCCATGGAAGATGGAGGTTGAAAAGCACTTATAGAAGAAATGAAAACAATTGAAGAATTTTTTGTTAAGTGGGGGGCTGCATCCTGTAAAAACATGAGAAAGATATAAAAGGAAAGACTTATGAGTCATAACATAAATTCTTTCTTTATATATATATATATATATATATATATATATATATATATATCTATATATATATATATATATATATAATAGGGACTATACCTGAAGAAGCAATATGGAGGTTTTAACATTGATTTCCCAAAGCTTGTCAAGGGTTGATTCTTGGGTGTCAAGAATGGCATCAACGGATGGATTTGCAGCAGCATTCGACACGATTACATCTATTTTCCCGTATTTCTGTGTCAATAAACTAAAGTCAGATAAATTTATGCTTGAAAAATATTTGAGAAAGTAACAGGAAAATGGTAGCAACAATCATATACAATTAGATTTACATGATTATCTCAATGAGATCTTGGTTAAAGATAATCAGTCTCAGTTCTCACCTCAAGTGTCTGTTGAATAAGATTCTTTCTTTGTTGAGGATTAGAAACATGGCATACCAATCCCAGCGCTTCAATTCCTTGTGTTTTGAGCTTTTTTACTGCCTCATCAACGTTTCTCTGAAAATTGATTATCAGTTTTGAACTCAAATTCAGCCCTCAGTGAAATGAACAAAATCAAACAAGTCTGAAAATACGAGATTGGTGTTTTTAAGTAGAAAAATGCTCAAAAACCTTGAAAAAAGCTTAATTTTGACTCGAATATGTGTATGAAAGTCGATTAGATTGAATAAGATCAAGAAATCCTGATCATTTTCATGCCCAGTTAGTAACTCATATGGTTGAAACTTGAAACTACTCACTTCGTCACATAGAAATTGAAATAACAAAATTAGTAACACAATGGAAAACCCCGAATTATCATGGGTATTTTTTCTCAAGCAACCAAAACGAGATCATCAACAAAATGTTGAAAATTTATAGGATAAGGTCGAACATATACCTAAATCAAAAATGAAAGTTAAAAGGACTGCAAACTTGAGCCAAAAAAATCATGAAACGAAACTAGGGCGAAAGATGTATGAAGTAGGTGGAGACGAACCTGTCTCCGAGATGAGATGACGACAGAGGCTCCTTCAAGGCCGAGTCGTTCAGCAATACTGAAGCCTATGCCTTGAGTTGAAGCTGTAACTATGGCAACTTTCCCTTCAAATCTTCTCCCGATCTTCGATTTCTCCATTGTTGTTGTTGATGCTTTGCTTCTTTCTAGTTTGGCATCTCTCTTTTCTTTCTTCTTTGTCGCTTTCAGTTTTAGACATTTAATATTTTTTAAATCGTTGAGAAATTGAGAAATCAAACCAAGATCGGATCCTACATAGAATCGTTTTTTGTTTACAAGATCCGGATCAAGATCCTATAAAATGAAACATAATTTTAATTTATAATTTTAATACATGAAAAATATTTTAAACATTCAATTTTTTGTTAAAAAATTATAAAAACTTCAAAATATTAGTCATAAGTCACAACATAAAATGATAAACGGTAACTTGGTAAACGGGTAAAAGACATAAAGTGGTAAAATGATTTCATTTGCAAAAAAAAAAAAAAAAAAAAATCAAGGAAAGGTAGGATCGGATCGGATCCCGATCCTACGATCTTACGATCCTACACCAAATACGATCCGTTTACGATCCGGATCGTTTTTCATACCTAAGAACGTAGGATCGTAAGATCCTACGATCAGGATCGCGATTTTGACAATCATGGTATATCCGACTTACCCAATGTTTTATAGAAATTAGTAATTTAATCATTTTTAATGGTATTTTACTATTTTAATTATATTAATTTTTTTTTGAATGGCGGAAAATTTTATTAAAAAACTAGCAAGAAGCTAGAAAAAAACATTACAACAATTTATAAGCAAAAGTCAGGTTATGAAGCCAAGAAGTCCACAATATCTTAGCTTTATTACACCTATTGGAAACCCAAAAGAAATACATTTCAAACACTTCATTAAAAATAAAGGATTTCCTAGGTGTAACACTCCGAATTCAGAAGACCTAGAAAGGAAAGGAAAACCTCAAATCAGAAGGCAACTCGTCGAGTAGGTGGGATGACTCAACGAGTAGGAGCATATTTTGGGTCGTGGGTTAAGTGACCTACTCGACGAGTTGGGGGACCAACTCGGCAAATTGGTCAGGGTTTAGGAAACCCTAAATTCGGGACTTGGTACCCTATTTAAGCATCTTATTCTCTTCCTCTTGGTTCCATTCCCAGCCCCCATTGTCCAGAATTTAACCCACGAAATCCTAGAGCCTTTTGAGAGTGTGTGAGCCATCCTAGAGTGTTTTATGTGTTCTTGGAGACTAGAAGAAGAAGAAGGGGCTTGAAGGTTCAAGAAGAAGTTTGTAGATCCAGCAACACCATCTCATTTCCATCATTTTCTGGTAATCAAGTCTTCATCTTGACTTATAGTTTCTTAGATCTCTTTATGTCCATTTTATGAGATTTTTGGTCCATGGAGCTTGATATATGGGACAAGGACGTCCCAAGCAAAGATCCTTTCAGATCTAGAACCCCTAAGAGTGGTTAAGGCATAAAGGTGCAAGCTTTATGACATTAGAAACCCCCATGCAAGCTTTAAGGAGTTGTTATGGTCTTTTAAGCCTCAAAAGGCCATGCATAGATGAAAAGGTAGAGACTTTACGTGGTTATTGGGAGACTAGGGCCTAGATCTTGGTTCCCCTGCTTTGGATTAGAGAAATAAGGGTTTTGGGACATAGATTTATGTCTTAAGGAGCTAGGGTTTTAGCTAAACCCATTAAGAAGGATTAGGAGTGGGTAAAGTTGGAAACTTTACCCTCATGAGGTCATTTCCAGCATGTTGACAAAGTTTGGGGTTTGGATCTGAAGTGTAGGGGCTTAATCTGTTAAGATGGCCCAAACAGACTGAGGGACTCGACGAGTCCAGGGAGGGATTCGACGAGTCACAGTGAGTTGTCTCGTTTCTGTTCATGCTAGAATTCGGCGAGTCTGAGGGCTGACTCGACGAGTTGATTCGATAAATCGCGACCATGAGTAGCCAGGGAACTCGGTGAGTCAAAGGGTGACTCGACGAGTTGAATCGCGATTTTAGAATTCTGATTTATGGGACTCGGCGAGTTGGTGGAGCAACTCGGCGAGTTGGGTCAACTCGGAGCGTTGGCTTTACCGTTGACTTTGAGGACATTTTGGGCTAAGTGTCATTTTGTTATTGATAGCTCGGGGAGCCGAAGGAGCAGCAGTTCAGGGAATTGTCAGTTAGCAGCCAGAGGAGTATCAACAGGTCTTTAGCAGTGCAAGGTGAGTCTCCACACTGTGTGCATGGGTCTACGGCCACAATGTCGGCCCATTATGTTTGTGTATAGTAGGAAGACCTGGGGGTTAGCCCTAGGCATTTTATGATATATGTTTCGGGTTACGACTCGATGTTAGGAGAGGCCCGAGGAATGTTAGTATGCTAGAGGTCTTTGTGATTCTTGCATGTGTCGGTACGATAGGTTCCGGATCGGGGGTCCGATGTCGGGGCAAGCCCGAGGTATGTTTATATGGTAGTATGATTACGGACTAGGGTCCAATGTCGGGGCAAGCCCGAGGAAGGTTTATAGGTTACATGTTAGATTATACTTTATGTCTTTATGATACTTGTATGTTCCTGGTAGGGAGGTGAGTGTGGGCGAGGTCTTGTATCTCATCACTAGCTGAGTATGGATGGGGTTCCATATCTCAATATTAGCAGAGTAGGGGCGTGGCCCATGATAGGAGTGAAGTGAGCGTGGGTGGGGGTCCGTATCTCACTATCAGCAAGAGTATGGATGGGGTCCCACGACTCATCAGTAGCAAACTAGGGGCGGGGCCCCAGTTAGACGAGGCCTTAGAACAGGAGTACAATTAGAGTATGTTTATTTATGTACTAGCATGTTATTTGATATACCGAGCAGGGCCTAATGTCGGGCAGGGCCCGATGCCGGAGTGAGTCTGATGCCGGGTGTAACGTCCGTAGATCTTGGCTAGTCAATTTAGAGACAATGAGCATCAAAAATGAGTTTTTTATGGAAGATTATTTAGAAGGAATAATCTTAACCAAGTTATAGTATATGTTACAAGGGTTCTGTACATATAAAGAACGCCAAAATCCGAGTTATAACGAAGAAATTATGGCCCGTTGAAGTTTTACGGCGAAACCGACACGACACCACGTAACGTAAAAAGTGAATTTTTGATAAACTAATTTTTAACCTTAAATATCTAAATTAAAGTTGTAATATACATTAAACCAAGAGTGTGCATAAAAAGAACGTCAAAATCTGACTTCGTATGAGGAAGTTATGATTTTTCTAAGATTTGGCATAGCAATGCACAACCCGAAATTCGAATTTTAGATCGATCGATTTTTGGCCAACGCAACCTAAATGAGAATTGAAGATCTCATTAATAGTAGCGCAACGGTAAAAAGACAGACGAAAACGGACGTTGGATGAAGAAGTTATGAATTTTTAACGGACTTTTCATGTCCCGACTTGTTAAAAATATAACCTTAAAAATAAAGTCAAAATTAGCCAACGGAGTCTAAATGAAAGTTGTAGAGTATGTCTCCGCCTACGCGTGGATATAAAGAGCGTCAAAAACAGAGTTCGTATGAACGAGTTACAAATTATAATAGCATATTTACGTATTAAAATAAAGTATCAATCATATATACGTACACACACACACACACACACACACACATATATATATATATATATATATATATATCATTAGAAAGGTATCGACGATGCGGTCATTATAAGACTAATGTTGAATACTTTCGACATTAGTTTAGTACAAATATCGTTAAATCTATTAAAAATAGTATTATAAAGGGGTGTTTAGTTGTTTATATAACTATAAGGTCATTAAGTAACTATGATGGTAGTCTTTGAAAATTCAATTACTATAAATAAGAGCCTTGGGCTCTCATATTTCTTGCACCATTCTCTTGATTCAAGAGTTTTCTCTTCTTATCCCCCGAGCATTTCGGACCCTCGTGATTCGACTTCTCTTTCTGTAGTTTTAGTATAATAAGGTGAGCGCTGAAGCGCTGCACGAATCTTTCTTAGAAAGATTCAGCGACGAAGTTCTGCCCCTGCAGAGCTCGGCTCCTAGCTAAAACTCCCTTGTAAGTAAGTTATGCTTACCCTATTTCAAATATAGCTTATATTTAAAATTAGTATTGTTATTATGAACTTATAATAAATATTTGGGCTATTATTATGACTTATATAAGTGTCATTATAATATCTTTTTAATTACTCGCGGTATGGGGAATCTAGTTTAAAGGGCCGCATATGGTTGTTGGATTTCAGAAGTGCTATATGCCAAAATGGTCCTGCCCTTCGGTGTTTTATGTCTGGCCCCTGTTTGTACATAGTGGTTGAAAAATATTGTTTAAACGCTTATATAATAATAATAATAATAATAATAATAATAATAATAATAATAATAATAGTAAGACTAATAATTAGTCACGGTAACTATTAGACTAAAATCTAGTGGTAATAATACTAGGTTTCGTCGAATGAAATTATTTTTAAGAAGCGAAGTGATGTCTGAGTTCGGAATCACCACCTTAACAAGTGAGTGCATAGTTACTTTCATCTTACACATAGATATGAAGTATTTTATATAAATTACGTACTATGTGTGCATATAACCTTATACTTGCTATCTATGCTGGATGAACGATTTTATACATGTTTTAAATAATTTAAATTGTATATGTATTTTATATCTACGAATATGTTGGGTAAAACATGGGTAGATGAATGATGAGAGATGAAAGATGATATGAGTGAAAATTGGCAGCTATAGACTTAGTGCCTAATAAATAACATCGGCAGCTATGGACTTAGTGCCTATTGGATAAACGCTGGTAGCTATGGACTTAGTACCTGTTAGATAAACGTTGGTAGCTATGGACTTAGTACCTGTTAGATAAACCTTGGTAGTTATGGATTTAGTAGCTATTAGATGAACACTGGTAGCTATGGATTTAGTACCCGATGAATGAACTTTAGCAGCTATGGAATTAGTGCTTTACGAACAAGCATTGACAGCTATGAACTTAGTGCCTATCATATAAACCCTGGAAGCAGTGGGCTTCGAAATGAACGAATGCAGGATAGATGATTCTTAGGGTAGATCCTTAAGAGTAAGGAAGATAATGGGGATGGGTAGTTGGGTTGATTGTTGATGTTTAAACATAATAATTATATTATTGTGGGTTGAAAACCCTATGTACTCACCAGGTTTCCCAACCTGACCCACTCAAGCTTATTTGAATCAC